CATACATCTCGGGCTCTGGCTGGACACAGTCTGGGGGGACGGTAGTGGTTAGCAGGAAAGGAGGGCCAGGGGGAATGTTGGGGGCTGGAGGTGAGTTGGGTCAGGCTGGCCCTGGGGCAGCTTAGGCCTGGGCCAGCAAGAGGGAGTGCAGGGTGGACAGCGGGGTGGGTCTGGAAGGCCAGAGCACCTGGTCCAGGGCTGGGAGGTGGGAGGGGCTGTGCAATAAAGACCCTCAATGTCACGGCCCTCCCTCTGACCCCCGTGGGCCCCAGACGACGTGGACCTGGAGCTGCGACTGGCCCGCTTCGAGCAGCTCATCGGCCGGCGGCCCCTGCTGCTCAACAGCGTCCTGCTGCGCCAGAACCCACACCACGTGCACGAGTGGCACAAGCGTGTGGCCCTGCACCAGGGCCGCCCCCGAGAGGTGTGTGACACCCCGCCCCCCGGAGCCCACCCCACCCTCACCTGCCAGGCCCCAGCTGAACAGCTGACCCCCCACTCCTTGCACAGATCATCAACACGTACACGGAGGCGGTGCAGACGGTGGACCCCTTCAAGGCCACGGGCAAGCCCCACACGCTGTGGGTAGCATTCGCCAAGTTCTACGAGGACAATGGGCAGCTGGATGACGTGAGTGCAGATGTGCCCTTGTCCTGAGGACCCAGGTGCAGGTGGGCAGGCAGGGTCTCAGCCTGACCTCTGACCTCCTGCAGGCCCGTGTCATCCTGGAGAAGGCCACCAGGGTGAGCTTCAAGCAGGTGGACGACCTGGCCAGCGTGTGGTGCGAGTGTGGTGAGCTGGAGCTCCGGCACGAGAATTACGACCAGGCCTTGCGGCTGCTTCGGGTACTTAACACTGAGATCTGGGATTGTGGGGCGGGGCTACCACTGTGGACCGGGTCTGGGACACACCCTCCCAGCCCCGCCTCGGGCCTGTTTCTGCAGAAGGCCACAGCGCTACCTGCCCGCCGGGCTGAATACTTTGATGGCTCGGAGCCTGTGCAGAACCGTGTGTACAAGTCCCTGAAGGTGTGGTCCATACTTGCTGACCTGGAGGAGAGCCTTGGCACCTTCCAGGTGAGCTGCCAGGACGCAGTGGGTCCTGGGAAAGGGGTGGGGCTACCACCTCAGCCCGGGATGCGCTGTGACCTGCCCCTGCCCTCACCCTGCAGTCCACCAAGGCTGTGTATGACCGCATTCTGGACCTGCGCATCGCCACGCCCCAGATCGTCATCAACTATGCCATGTTCTTGGAGGAGCACAAGTACTTTGAGGAGAGCTTCAAGGTGAGAAGGCCAGTTGTCCCCACCCTAGTGCTTTGGGCACGGTGTCAGCCTGCCCAGGCGGTGGTGACAAAGGACCGTGGGCTCACCCAGCAGCGGTGCACTGGCTTGTGGCTCTGGAGGCTGGAGGCCTGAGGTCCAGGCTTCAGCAGGGCCGATTCCTCCTGAGGCCTCTCTTTGGCCTCGTCCTCAGCTGTTCACCTGTGTCTGTGCTCGTTTCTGATGTCTCCCCACATGTCTAGGTCTCCGCGCACAAGGACACCCATTGTGTTAGAGTAGGGTCTGCTGCAGCAACCTCATTCTAACCTAGTTACTTCTGTAAATACCTTTTCTCCAAATATAGTCACGTTCTAAGATGCTGGGGTTAGGGCTTCGGCACGAATTTCAGAGGACACAGGTCAGCCTACCCCAGGCACCGAGTCCTACATCTGTGTGTGTAAGAGGCAGCAGAGGTGTTGGTGTAGGTGTGTGGGCTGCTCAGGTGACGGGTCAGTGGTGTGTGGGACATTTCGTACTGGACACTGTGTATACGGATGGAGAGGTCGTGCGTGTGCACAAGTGCTGGCCCTGCCTGGAGGACAGGCCCTGAGCTCACGTGGGCCTTGGCAGGGAGACAGGCAGCACATAGGCCCGCCTCGCCAAGCCGTGACCACAGGCAGGTGGACAGGAAGGAGGCCCCTCACTGAGCCGGAGGAAACACGGGCAGCATCCTGGCAGACAGCACAGGTGACTCGCCTGGTGGGCTCACACGTGATCCCCCTCTGCAGGCATACGAGCGAGGCATCTCGCTGTTCAAGTGGCCCAACGTGTCCGACATCTGGAGCACCTACCTGACCAAGTTCATTGCCCGCTATGGGGGCCGCAAGCTGGAGCGGGCACGGGACCTCTTCGAGCAGGCGCTGGACGGCTGCCCTCCAAGATACGCCAAGAGTAAGCGGGGCCAGGCAGCCGAGGGGAGGGCAGGGGGCTGGACCATGACCCTCTGACCTCCGTGTCCCGCCACAGCCCTGTACCTGCTGTACGCACAGCTGGAGGAGGAGTGGGGCCTGGCCCGGCACGCCATGGCCGTGTATGAGCGCGCCACCCAGGCTGTGGAGCCTGCCCAGCAGTACGACATGTTCAACATCTACATCAAGCGGGCCGCGGAGATCTACGGCGTCACCCACACCCGCAGCATCTACCAGAAGGCCATCGAGGTGCCCGCCGCGGGAGGTGGGGTGGGACCTCCCTTAGGAGGTGCGAGGGGTCCTGCAGGCTGCAGGTCTGAGTGAGCCTGCGCCCAGGGGCTGGCAGGGTGCATTCTGGAAGCTCGGGGAGCAGCTGGCGTGTGAGGACCCCCTGTGGCAGCCCCCTGCCCCTCTCCCAGGTGCTGTCAGACGAACACGCCCGGGAGATGTGCCTTCGGTTCGCGGACATGGAGTGCAAGCTGGGAGAGATCGACCGCGCCCGGGCCATCTACAGCTTCTGCTCCCAGATCTGTGACCCCCGGGTAGGCATGGGCCCAGGGCAGGTGGGCCGGCGTGGGCAAGCTGTGGCTGAGCAGGTCAGCTTCTACCCTGGCACCCTCCCCCTCCACAGACGACCGGCGCCTTCTGGCAGACATGGAAGGACTTCGAGGTGCGGCACGGCAACGAGGACACCATCCGGGAGATGCTGCGCATCCGCCGCAGCGTGCAGGCCACGTACAACACGCAGGTCAACTTCATGGCTTCCCAGATGCTCAAGGTGTCGGGCAGTGCCGCAGGCACTGGTGAGTGGCTGCAGCCACCCCTGTCTGGGGAGCAGCATGGTCCCCCCCCCCATGGGTCCTGCCTGAGCCCGGGAACATCTTGAGGGCTGGGGCCTTGAGGACAGGTGGGGGTCATCTGGCATCTGTTGTGAGTGTGGAGAGGGCGTGTCCACTTTGTGTGACCCACCACTTCCCCACCAGTGTCCGACCTGGCCCCTGGGCAGAGCGGCATGGATGACATGAAGCTGCTGGAGCAGCGGGCCGAGCAGCTGGCGGCCGAGGCCGAGCATGACCAGCCCACACGGGCTCAGAACAAGATCCTGTTTGTGAGGTGAGGACGAGGGGCTGGGGGTGGGAGTGAGCTGGTCCCTCCTTGGGACAGGTCACTGGGGAGGCTGGAGAGGGTGCCAGGCCTAGCTGAACACTGTGGCCCCGCCCGCCGCAGGAGCGACGCATCCCGGGAGGAGCTGGCTGAGCTGGCCCAGCAGGCCAACCCGGAGGAGATCGAGCTGGGCGAGGACGAGGATGACGACGAGATGGACCTGGAGCCCAACGGTGAGGGGCAGACCGCCCAGCAGGGTCAAGGGGTGGTGGCAAGGGCGGGAGGCCTTTTGGGAGAGCTGCGAAGTGACTGTGTCACCCCCCATCCCCAGAGGTGCGGCTGGAGCAGCAGAGCGTGCCAGCAGCTGTGTTTGGGAGTCTGAAGGAAGACTGACCCCCCGCCCCATCCCCACGCCACCCCCACCCTGCAATGAAGCCTGTGATTGTATGGCCTGGTCTGAGCCTCCTTCCTGCTGCCCAGGTGCCTTCAGGGACTGCCAGCTCATTCTCCCTCTGGCTCTCGGCCCAGTCCCCTCCACCCCCAGATTGGCTGGTGTAGGAGGTGGTGCAGCTGGGCACTGGGCCAGGCTACACGCCCATCCTCACCCTGCAGAGCCAGTTCTGGATTTGGAGGCTGCCTGAGGCTTTCCTGATCCCTGAGGTTTTGGCAGTTGGGGGCGGGGAGGGGAAACCAGCCCCTAACTGCTCAGGTCTCACCAGCCCCTGCCCCCTGAAGGCCTGTCTGCCCCACAGTCTACAGGTGGATTCCCAGCCTCCCTCAGGGAGACTCATCACAGGCCTGGGAGGCAGGCAGTTCTGAGACTGAGCGAGCTAGGCAGCTCCACCTCTGCTGAGGACTAAGGACCAGGGTGGGGCCCTTGGTCCTAAGCTCTGGGAAGCCATTAGTGGACTCTAAGCCTTTAAGGGATTTTAAGCATTTGGAGATATAATCAGATTTGTGTCGAATAAGCCAGGCATGCTGCTGTGGGGGATTGCCTTGTGCTAGCAGACTGCTGGGAATGTTGGGAGGCCCAGGCTGTTGGTTTGTATGGGGGTGGTTATGGGGGCGGAGAGAGGTGCTGGAGACAGCAGAGGGCTTCAGGGGGTGAAGTGTGCCATGCTGGGTGGCACTGAGGATGCTGGCCCTCACCTGGCATGCCAGAGCTGCAGGGAGACCAGGAGCGCAGCCTAGCTCAGGCGTACAGTGTAGAGCCCACCTGAGATGTCCAGTGGCCGTCCCAGAAGGCAGCAGGACCCTCAGATGAGGCGCTCAGGAGAGAACGTGGGGCTTCTTGGCTCGGGGGCAGTGACCAAGCCCAGAGGGGCGGCAGGTGGCTGGAGGGCAGTCGAGTGTAGCAGTCGGCCACAACCAAGCAGCAGGCGAGACAAATAGTAATAGCCACATTGAGCAGAGATGGGGAAGGCCACAGGCAGAGGAGGGCTGGGCAGGGGTCTCCTGTGTCCAGAGCCAATGAAGGACTGAGAAATGGTCATGAGGATGGGGTGGGAGCATTGGCAGGGGAGTCACGTCCTTAGCTGGAGCTGCATTGGGGCCAGCAAGGGGGCTCGAGAGACGAGCAGCTTCAGAGTGGACAGGACACTGAGAGACCCTCAGGCAGACAGCACCAGGTGCCCCAGCCAACCCCACATCGGTGCCCACACTCAAGGGCTCTTTCAGTGACTTTATTCAAGGAGGAAGGGAGGACAGACAGGGGGCCGAGCTGAGCCCTGAGTCCCTGAACCTCCCAGCTCAGCCCCTACAGCAGGATCAGACGAAAGTCAGAGGGTGGGGACTGCGGTCCCCCGCCCCAGACAAGGTTGGGGACAGACAGGACCCAGGAATACCCACTGGTGTCCTTTAGGTTGTCCTCCGAGAGGGTGGTGGGCACGCACCACCCAGGGTGGGGCTATTTGGGGGTGCTGCCCCCCTTCTTGGGGGTGGTGGGCTTCTTGCTTTGCCAGAGGTGTCCCTGGATGGTGAAGGCATCCACGCTCATGGACATGGTCTTGGCGGGGATCTGGGTGAAGCGCTTGCGGTCAGAGTTGTACTTGTAGATGCCCTCGACCATGGCGGGCGTGACCGTGCGGGGGCCGTAACCTGCCAGCCTAGACAGCTCCTCCGTCTCCCCTGACAGTGTGTAGAGGGCCCGGAACTGGCAGCTCGAGTCCCGGAAGAGGATCAGGAAGTGGTTGGCCTTGCTCTTCTCAATTTCCTGGTGGGCAGGGGAGGCAGGCCGTCAGCCAGCCCAGCAAAGCCTCTGGCCCTCCTGCCAGCCCTCATCCCCACCCAGACTGACCTCGAGAATGCGGTTCTTCTGCGGCTCGTTCACCTTGCCTGCCAGGCAGCAGTGTGACAGGGCGTTGTGGATGATGAACTTGTTGGATTTGGCGCTGGGCTCCTTGTACAGCCGAGGACCTAAGGGGCAGGGCTGTAAGCAGGGTGGTTGGGCCCAGGTGGGGCCCCAAGTGGCCCACCTGCAGCCCACTCACCTGTGTACTCGGGCACTGAAGCAGGGGAGGAGGCGTTGCTGCCATTCTCCCAGTCACGCTCACGGCTGCCAGGCAGGCGGCTGGGGGACATGAGGCCTGATGGGGACGGAGCCCTGCAGGGAAGAGGGTGGGATGGAGATGCAGTTGGTGGGGGCAGCACTGCCCAGCGTGCAGTGGGACCAGGAAGGGAGAGCCTGGGACTCTGGGCAGAGTAGGAGGTGCACGTGTGCGTCATAAGCACGGCGGAATCCAGGCATTGCCCCCCAGCCTCAGGTGTGCTGACCCTTCCCTGCAGCTCTGAGGCCTAGCTGTCAGTCTGCTACAGCAGGGGGACAGTCCCCCCCGGGCACATGCCCTTCCAGCCCTACAGTGGCAGGTAAAACTCACACTTCTGCCATGTCACCTGCAGAAGCTCACATGCACACATAGGCTTGGAGAGGCTGCCTGCGTGGGCCCAACTCACCGAGACGTGGGCCTCTTCACACCAAGGTGATTGGGGGACTCGTTGGCCACGGTCGACAGTGAGAGGGTGGACTGGGAGTAGACCTTGCTGAGCCGAGAACCTGGGGGCAGAGTGCAGTGAGTCAGAAGCCGCCCGAAAGCCCCTTGCCCCCCGAAATGCCCAGTGGGGCTTTGCCTGACAGGCCCTTCCCCTGTGCAGAACCACATCCCTCTGGAAGTCCCCCCAGGAGGCAGGGCATTCTCACCGGAGACCCTAATGACCCACAGGTGCCCACCTCTGCTGCTGCAGTAGACCCATCCCCGCCCCACAGGGGCTTACCAAGCAGGCCACGGGCTGGGCTTCGAGCCAGGGCCGAGTCGTCACAGCAACCAGAACGCGGCCTGGGGGCCCTCCGTCCACCCCGGCCAGGCCCTCCGGTCCCCAAGGACCGAGGCCGCAGCACCTTGTCCAGGTCGTCCATCAGCTTCAGCTGGGCTCGGCGCTCATACTCGAGCCGTGTGAACTCCCCCCGCCGAGGGCCCACCTCCTCTTCAGCTGGAGCCCTGGCAGTGGGGGCCAGGGGGCCAGGGGCCAGTTCCTCTTGGGCCAGCCTGCAGGTGGAGGGAGCGAAGCAGTCAGACAGGTCACGGGGTCCCTGGGACCGGGGTCCCTGGGGCCAGGTGGCCTCACCGTGCGGCCTCCTCCCTTCGCTGCTCTTTCTCCGCCTCCTGCCACTGTTTGCGCCGCTGCACCTCCTCTGCCCGCCGTTGCTGCCGCTCCAGCAGGCTGGCCCGCTTCTGGGCCATCTCATCCTCGGGCTTGTCTTCATTCTGGGGACAGAGTGTGGCTGGCTGCCTCTTCCCTCGCCCAGCGACCAAACTGGTCATCTGACCAACCAGACTGCCAGCCACTCACCTGGCCCTCGGGTTTTTGCATTTGCCCAAAGGCACTTAGTTGGCACCCAGTGTGTACAGAGCCCTATGTGCTGGGCGCTGGTGCATTGGGCTGCGCAGGCCTGGGCACTGCTCGCACAGGGCGCTTAACCCGGCGGGGAGGACAGTCTGATAGCACCCCAACAGGCAACTACCAGTCTCCACTGTGGGGGGGGGGCACCAAGTCAGGCTCCCTGGGGGAGGCGGCCCAGAGAATGAGGAGGAGGAGGAGGACTTAACTGGGGAGGGGTGAGGAGAGCAGTCCATGCAGCAGGAATAGCACAGACAAAGGCCCTGAGGCCGGAACAAGCCCTGTGAGCCTGTGGCACAGCAGGGAGGTGGGGAGCAGCCAGGAGGCTGTGGGGTGAGCCACAGGAACGGTTTAGTTCTGAGCTCCAGAGGGGCTTCAACAGGGATGTGACAAGGACCAGTCTACACTTCCTGAAACTCCAGTGGCTCAGTTGTAAACTGCCAGGGATTTGTAGGGTGTGCAAAGGGTCAGCACAGACCAGTCGGGATGTGACTGCAGGTGTCCAGGTGAGAGATGGTGGCCCAGGCTGGGGGTGCCACGAGGAAGGGGAATTGGCCAGGCCGTCAGGAGGGAGACAGCAGGATGGGGAGTAGACGCCTGCCTGGTCTGTCCATTCTGTCCCTCACCCACCCATCTGCACACCTACACCTGGCTGGCTGCACATCCGCCCACCCCACCTGCCATCCATCTGGCTACACACACCGAGTCTGCCTGCCCACTCCCATGTGGCTGTGCAGCACCCACCTGCCCACTCCATCCACCAGTTCCTTCTATCCATCCATCCTTTGGAATGCCCTCTCCACCTGACCACGTGTCCACCCGCCCTTCTACCCACTCCCTGACCAGCCGGCCCGCCCTCCCTCCCTCTCTCCTCCACCTACTAAGGTGGCTCACTCACCTTATAGAAGAAGCCCAGCCCGGTGCGGGGAACTCCTTCTGAAGATGCCTCTTCCTCTAAAGAATCATCAGCGCCAGGGGGGCTCCCATCTCCCTCGTTCTCAGCCAACGGCTCCTCCAGGCTACCCAGTGGGATCTCGATGAGGCCCGGCCTGGCCATGGGTTCCTCGGGAGGTGGCCCCTCGGCCAGGAGGATGGAGGAGCGTGTCTGCACGGGCACCTGGCTCGGCGAGAACTTACGCAGGTGGGGCAGGCTGTCTACATCGTGGGGAGGCGTGAGCACCCTTGTCAGGGGTGCCAGGCGCAGCTCCGCCGGCCGCGTGTGCTTCGGGCTGCGGGGTGTTGGGCTGGGACCTGGTCCGGGGCTGCGCCGGGCAGCTGGGGCACGCCGTGCAGGGCTGGTGGATGTGGCTTTGGGACTCGTCGAGGGGACAGGGATGACCCACGCAGCAGGTGGTGGGGTGGGCCCGGGCGCCTCGGGAGGGGCTAGGAGCCGTTGCTGCTGGTCCGTGAGCCGCTGCATGTCCCTCTGCAGGGAGCTGAGTGCGGCGCTCAGCTTGCTGACTGCCCGGTTGTAGTCCCCCACACCCTCGGGAGGCAGCGGGCCCAGCTCTGGTGAGAAGGTCACTGCCTTGGGCCTCGGGGATGGCTCACCCTGGCCCTCACCTGACGGCCTCTCCCCCCCAGGGGCTGGCTCAGGGGCTGGCTCAGGCTCTGCCTCTGCCTCCGCCTCCCCACCGGCCTCCCGTGGCTGCACCTGCAGGAAAGCACTCTTGCCCAGTCGCTGGCGGTGCTTGGCAAAGATGGCCTCTATCCGCCGCTTCTGAGCCTCGATGGCCCGCCGTTTCTCCTCCAGCCGGGCTCCAAGCTCACTCATCTCTGAGCTCAGGGCCTCTGGCGCCATTGGGGTAGGTCCTGGGGACCCTGCTCCAGCCTCCACCTCGGCCTTCACCAGCTGCTTCTTGCGTTCAGCAAAGCTTGTCATCTTCACTTCCGAGTTGCCGGCAGCTGGTGAGGAAGCCACCACCTTTGGGGAGCCCTCAGATTGGGCTGGCGGTTTCAGTACCTCCCCTGCCAGGCAGGTAGACAGTTTCGAGGGGCCCTCAAGGTGAGGCAAGTAGACAGGTGTTCTGCTGGGTGGGTAGGAGGAGGCCAGTGGGGGTTTGGAGGGCCCCTCAGGTGAGTGGAGGTAGAAGCTGCCGTCGGCAGCCCCGTCTGGAAGCAGCCGGGGCTCAGCACTGTGGATGATCTGCAGGGCCTCCTCGATGGTAGGCAGGTCGCCCGGCTCTGGTGGTTGGTGGGCGGGGGTCAGGGCCGGCATAGGGGGGCGCGGGGGGCCCAGGCTGTCCGAGCTGACAGAGCGGAGCAAGACAGGGTCTCCCATGACGACATCCACATCGCTGTCCAGGCCAAAGGGGGTGCTGAATGACACAGCCTGGGAAAGGGGGCGGCTGGGTGGCCAGAGGGAGGCGTCAGCCCTGGGTCAAGCCCTGGCCCTGCCCCAGCCTGGCCCCGCCCTCTCCACTGCCCGTGGGGGCCGGAGTTGCCCTCACCTGAGCTGCCGGTTCCAGGCCTTGCTGAGGGCCTCCATGTGGGACATGGATGGGGAGGACTTCAGTGAGCCTGGGAGGGGTGGTGAGGGGTCACTCAGTGCTCACTAAGGGGGGCACTGGGGACCCTAGGTGGGGTTAGCCAGGGCAGGTCACTGGGTAAGCCGCAGATGGATCTGCATGTGGATGGACAGCTGGGGGCCACTCAGTGTTACTGGGAGTCCTGTTGAGCCACTGGGGAGGTCAGTGTGGGGTCTGAGTGTCACCATGTGCCAGAGGAACCCACGGGAGGGGTCAGAAGGTGACAACATGAAGTCAGCTGGCACTTTGGGGGTGGTTTCCAGGTCCAAGCTGCCCCCACCCTCACCTGTGGATCCTCGAAGTGGGGACCGGGGGCCGCCGGGTGACAGGAGTGGGTGGCGGAAGTTGAAGACAGGAGAACTGCAAGAGACGCCTGTGAGCCATGGGACCCCCACCTCTCCCATGGTAGGGCACGAGCACCCCCGAGTCCTGTCCAGTGACCAGCCGGGAGGAGGGGCCCGTCATGGCCAGGGACACTCACCCAGTGGGAAGAGCGTACCTACTGCCACTGCTGTTCTGTGGTGTGGAGGCCTCCGTGGCCTGCGGGGAGGCAGCTGCAGCAGAGAGAGGAGGGTCAGGCAGGGCACGGCCCCCCACCCCCCACCCAGATTAAGCCAGGCCTCACCATGGCCATCGGGAAGGCCCTTGCCCTGCACGAAGTCGGGTTTCAGCACCTCGAAGCACACGAACATCTCGGCCAGCAGCACCACCAGGTTGGTCTGGAGGCAGAAGGAGGGCTCAGTCCATGGGACCCATGGCCCCGGACACTACCCTGGCCCACCAGATGCCAAGGCAGCCTCACCTTCAGGGGCGGCGGCACATAAAGCAGGTCCTCGAGGGACAGCGGGCAGCCTCGAGGAAGGCGGGAGGCACAGAAATCCTGCACCAGCTGCAGGTTGTACAGGCTGTCGGCCACGGACATGGGGTCCTTGAGGCACACCTCTGCGGGGACAGAGGCCGGTCTGGGGGTGGGCAGGGGCCCCAGACGAGGGAGTCCCGCTGTGGACCTGGGGCCAGGCACCCTCCGAGAGGTGGACCCTGGGACAGGCTTCTCCCCAGGTCCCTGCATCTGCTGCTGCCAACACCTACGACACTCGTCCCCAAGGAACTCGACGCACAAAGCTCGTCCTGATTTCCCTGCACCCTTCAGGGTGCCCAACATCTGGGATAATGTTCTGGATGAACTTACTGTCTTTCTGCCCCACCTGGGATGGGAGCCACCTGAGGTCTGTATCGTTCATTCTCACTGGATCCCTGGCCTCTAAAATGGAGCCTGGCACACAAATCACACTAGAAGCATTTGGTGCAGGAATAAATCTTATGAAGTGCAGAGAGGTTTAGACACTTATGTGACATCACACAGCTATCTAGGGGAACAGAGAGGTTTAAACCCAGGCTTGCTGTTTCCGGAAGCTGCACTCATAATGACGGCACTGGCCTGGGAACAGTCTCGGAACACTGGGCTCCCAAGAGCAAGGTCTGGCCCAGGCCTGGTTACTCACCCTCAAGTCGCAATAGCTGGGGACAATAGCAGTGGATTGTGGCGGCCAGTGCAGCTCCATTGGCCAGGTCCTGGAGGCCAGTCACGTTGGGAAAGCAGGGGGCACATCTGGCCACAGTACGGTCCTTGCGGTATCGGATCTGTAGGTGGGAGCCAGGTCAGACCAGAGGTCAGGCTGGCCCCCAGGTCAGTGGTCATGCAGGCTGGGCAGGGAGGCCTGGGGTTTCCGCCACGAGGGGGCATGAAGCCAAGGGTCCCAGAGCCAGAGTGAGGGCCAGCCTGGAGTGGGGGAAGGGCAGCAGCGAGGCAGAGGAGGTGTCTCTGAGCAGCCAGGCCAGCGGTGGGGGGCCGGGGCAGGGGCTCCTGGGACCCTGGGGTGGGGGATACGTTACCATGGGGGGTTTGCTCCCCGACTCCTTCAAACAGAAGGCAATTGCGTGCTGGGGGGAGAGGAGCAGCCATCAGCGGGACGGGAGGGGTGCTGACTCGCTGGGCGCCCAAGCACACCTCCGGGAGTAGGGCCGAAAGCCCGGAGCCCTCTCCCGAGCCCGTGGCCATCCAGCGCCCTGCCTGCACTCCTGCCGGCTTTGGGGATCCCAGCTCCTCCCAGCCTGGAGGGACCCCACAGAGCAGCCTTCATGCGGGGACTCCTCCCCTCACAGATGACCCGGGCCCCGGCTCGGGAGGGGACGCAGAGGAAGCAGGCAGGCAGAAGAGGAGGGACCCCCGACCCAGGCGCCAGGAGTGAGAAAAGGCAGGGGACCCTTTCCAGCCCAAAGCCTCCTCCCTCCACGTGCAGCTGCCCCTTTCCCCTCGTTGTGCTTCTGGGAGGGGCACTCCCCACCCCCCAAAGCTGACATCTCTCCTAGGGAAGCTGAAGTCTCGGGAAGATGGGCCCCCTTCTGGGTGTGAGGGCCTTCCTCTTGGCTAGGAGGGGTCTTGTCCGTGTGCCTGGCCACTCAGGGCAGGGCCATGTGTCTGCTGCGCTGCAGTCCTCCCGAAACTCCTGGGGACTCCCCACCTGGGCTCAGTGGACCAGCTAAGGGAGCTCTACCTTCCTGACTGTGGGAGGGGAGGTTCCTTCTGTCAGGTAACTGAGCAGGGGCCCACCCTCTCAGTGAACACCGGAGATACCCCCCCCCACCTCGGTTCACAGGGGCCTTCTGTCTGTCCCCCAGGGCTGGGGGTCATGCCTCCTTTGCTCACAGCTGGGGCGGGTAGGAGGAGTAGACAGGCAGGCAGACACAGAGTGACAGGCAGGGCAGGCAGACGGGGCAGAGACGGCCCCACTTACAGGAACCAGCTTCCAGTACCAGCGGGTGGGGCACTGACGCCAGAGGCAGAGAGATGAGAGGGGCGGGCAGGGGGGAGGGGCGGAGTGGGGGAGAGAGAGAGTCACCTCCAACAGCCTCAGTGCACAAAGGGCCATGAGGTCCGCCCGCCCCGCCCACCCGGCCTCTGACTGTCCTTTCGTCCATCCATTGCCTTTGTCTCACCGAGGGCTGCGCTGGGGCGGCCCCGTCTGCAGGGGCTGCGGGAGATGTTCTTTGGCCTGCTTCCTGCTCCGTCTTCTCTTGCAGCCGCCGGATCGTCTGGGGAACCAGCAGAGGGCAGCACTGTGGTCACTGGGCGATGCTGTCCCTGAGCCCACCCTGGCATAACACCCCACCAGGGCCTAACCCCACCTACCGTGTCCACCCAGAAAAGGAGCTTGTGCTCCAAGCTGGTCAGGGCCAAAGGACCAGGCGGCGTCTTTGTCCATTCTAAGGCGAAGGCCACCATGAGGGCGTCAATGACAGCTAGGTGGGCTCCCTGCGGGCACAAGGACTGAAGGGTGAGACCAGAACAGAATCAAGGGGAAGAATCTGGAAGTGAGACAGGCTTGAGAGTGGGGGCCTCAGGAAAGCAACCAGGACAGGGGTTCTGGCAGAGCTACTTCTTGGTGGGCTGGGCTTTGAGGTCACACACTAGGTCTTAGGATCCGGCGGGCCCTGTAGGCCAGTTCTCAAAGGCCACAGCAGTATCTTCTGGAGGGAGTCAAGCCTGGTGGGAGGAGCCAGGCCTGGTGGGTGGGGCCTACCATGAGGATAGGCTGGTGTCGCAGGTCAGCCTCCTGCACAGGGCGTTCCGGCAGTGCGGGCACCGTGCCCCTCCGTGCCAGCAGGGCCAGCAGTGCAGAGGGGCTGGGGGGCGTCTCCAGCTGTGGCAGCGCCTGCCTCCAGGCCCGGCAGTACAGCTCGGCTGAGAGCAGCAACCGGGTCACCGGGGGCTTCACGTGCTCCTGCGCATACTGGTCGGTGTAGAAGGGCTCCCATAGCTCCGAGGGCACGTGCTCTGTGCGGGCAAGGGGGGTGAGGGCAGGTCAGGGCCGCTGGAAACCAACCAACCGCACCCACACCGTCACACGGCTCCAGCTAAGGGGGGCTCTGGGCCAGGGAGGATGGCACCGGGAGAGAAGACACAAGTGTGGAGTTTGCCAGAGGAAGGGCTGATGGTGCTCCAGATGCACGCGAAGGAAGCGTGCACAGGAGCATGTGGGCAGAGGGTGGGAGGTCTTGCTGGGGGGGAGGGGAGGGGAGAGAGGACCATTACAATGCCATACTGCTCAATCACCCATGCTGGTGCCCCAAGCAGGACACCCCATTAGGCTCATTTACACCTTAATGCAACCCTGGAGGCACCTGCCTCAGGCCACCGCACAGTGAGGGAGCCGTGGAGCCGGCCTTCCCATCCAGACCTTTAGTAGACCCTACACCCTCTCAGCTCAGATGTGGGGGCTGGCTGGCAGGACACCCAGTGGGGGAGGTGGACACACTGCAGACACTTTGGGGGTGTGCGAACTGGGCAACTGAAGGGAGGATGTGGAGGGAGGTGCCGGGGCCCATGGGGAAAAGGGTGGTGACTGGGGTGGGGGTTGGGGGGTTCATGAGGCTCAGTATGAGGGGCTGGGGCCTAGGAGAGCAGTGGGGTCCTGTCACAGATGCAGCCTTGGGCACCCTGAAGACTAGGAAGAGGCTTGAGGAAGCCCCACAAGGGGCGGGGCCTCAAGTAGGACCCAAGGGTGGGGAGGAGAAAGATCAGAATAAGCTGCCAGAAAAATCCAGGAAGGCCAAGGAAGAGGTCACGAAGGCCAGTGTGGGGGTTCTTCCAGGGAGGCCACGCTCATTCCAGTCAGAGAAGCTGTTTTGTATACTGGGGTTCCCCATGTGTTTGAAAGAGTGTGGGCAGGATTCTACCACTTGGAACATTTGAATGTGACCAGACCTTCCTCCGTACCTCTCCACTCGGCCACACTCCCAGATACCTCCCACCCACAAGGACCCGGGCATCCTTGCCTTCAGTGCCTCCCAGGCTGGGCTCTCTCCCCACCCCCTAAAATCATACTTGACCTTCCACTTAACGCCCCACCCCAGTGGAGAGTTGTGCCTACTCCCTGCCCCTCCCAGCTTAGCTCCTTGAAAGAAGAGTTCTCCAGCCTTCCCTTCCTTCCAGCCTACCCCAGCCCAGCCTCCCCAGCCTGGCTCCTGCCCTTCCAGGTCCCTGCCTCCTCAAGGCCAGCAGTGGCCACCCAGAGCACAATCGCAGCCTGTGTCTTGCCTGGGCTCTCTGCCCGGGACCTCATCCTTCCGGGAGCCATCCTCCCCTCGGCATCTCCCAGGTTCCCACCACTCAAACCAGGGCCCTGCACACCTGCCCCCCTCAAGGCAGAGCTCCTGACAGCTGTCTCGGCGGCCTTGTAAACAGACATGTTCACCCCCCACACATGTATGATGGCTTCCACTGCCATCTGAGCACCCGCCGTGGCCTTGGCAACTCCCATAATCCTTAGCATCTTGCTCCAAACCTGCCCCTTCTCTCTGTTCCCATCGCAGTGAAAAATCACCATCCCTCCTTCACTCTCCTCCAACATGCAGTCAACTTCGACCTCCTGGCATCTTTCAAAGCCAAACCCTCCTCCCTGTGTCTCCAGCTCCTGCTCATTCCCACTGGCGAAAACGGAACAAGTTTCTTTTCTGCAGGACTTGTCAGAGCCTTTGAAATGAAACCTGAGGTGAGATGTTGGCACCGATGGCTAATGTTTACCAAGCACTTCCTCTATCCCAGTGTGTCTCCACCTCTGCTCTGTTGGCACTTGGGGCTGGACAAGTCTTTGTGTTTGCCTGGGGGTGGGGCAGGCTGTCCTGGGTTGTAAAGTGTTGAGCAGAATCCCTGGTCTCTGGTCACTGGAGGCCAATAGCACCTTCCTCCCAAGGAGCGACAACTGACAGTGTCTGCGGACGGACAGTGCCAGTGTCCCCGAGACCCACCAGCGCTCTGTGCCACACACTGTTTGTGACGTGCTGACAGCAGAGCAGGGCCCGCCTGAGGGAACATAGTGCGAGCCACACATGTGGTTTTAGATATTCCAGGAGCCACACTGAAAAAGTAGAATCGAATAACGTTCGCTTAGTAGTTCTTTCAACCTAACGCACAGTTGACCCTTGAACATGAGTTTGAACCAGATGGGCCCATGCATACGTGGATTTTCCCCAGTAAATCCTGTAAAAGCATCTTCTCCTCCTTATGATTCTCTGAATTCCATTTTCTTTTTTCTAGCTCACTTCACTGCAAGAACACAGCATGTGATACATAGAACACGTAAAAACGTGTGTGAGTCCACTGTTGTTATTGGTAAGGTCAATAGCAGACTCTTTGTAGTTAGGTTCCTGGGGGGGTCAGAAGTCACACACGGGTTTTCAACTGTGTGGGGTGGGGGGGAGTCAGTGCCCCAGCCCCTGTGTTGTTCAAGGGTCCCCTGGACACCCAACACGGTGTCCTTCCAGCATGTAAACGATGTTGACACATCATTACTGAGCTGTTTTACATTCTGTTCCCACCCCAGGTCTCCAGAAGCCACTGTGCTTGTCCCACTGACCGTGCCCCCCAGTCTGGTGGCCCTGGCTCAGCAGCGCGAAGCAGCACTGATGGTGACCACTGCTTCACAGTCACCATCACATACTCAGTTGCTTAGTCCCTATAGCACTGATGTCCTGATGCCCATGGTGCAGATGAGAAAACCAAGGTCCAGACCCCCGCCAGGGCTCGCCAAAGCTCACGCACCTAGTAAACGACAGAGTGGACACGGACCCAGTTTCCCTGTGCATCAAGTTGGCTTTCTGAAGGCATGAGACTGCATGTGCTGTTTCTCAAACTTGCTTAACAATGGCACCCCTCCATCTTATCTCTGAGCTAGAGTTCTGTGGAGCCCGCCCACTTGCCGTGCTGCCCGGCCTCCTCGCATCTGTGCTTCTCCGTCACCAGAACTACCCCTTCTCCAGCCACGACCCCCCTGGGCACACACTTGCACGTCTGATATCATCATGCCAGTCCCCAAACATTTTCCATGACCCCCCAGTGCCCTCAGACGCTCACCCATGGCCGGAGAGGCCCTCCTCGGTCTCATGCGCCTCCTTCATCCTCACCTCCCTCGGTGTCCACCAGGACCCCCACTTCCTTCTCCTTGTTGGTCCATACCCCATGCCTTACTTAGCACATGTGATCCCCTCCCCCTGGCAAACTCCTACACATACTTCGAGGTTCAAGCCCTCCTTCTAGGGTGCCTCTCCTTTTCTCCCCTCCCTGGGAGATTCCAGGAACGTCCTCCCTCCTGCATCCCTCTCGGTGTCGCTCAAGGCAGGGATGGTCCAGTTTCACGTCCCATAGGCCACTCTCTCTCACCTGACCCCCAGCCCAGCACTGGCCTGGCACCCAAAGGCATCAGTCAAGAGTCTTGGAGTTTGTGAACCAAGCCTAGTTCTGCCCTCTCTCAGGGCCTGGTGCCCCACCTTCCTCAGCCCGCTCTGTTTAGCGAAGGTGGGTGGGAAACTGGTGGAAATTGACCTTCAGTGTCATACGGCACGGAAGGCTGGGTCTAAGAGTCAGTGCATCTGCTCGGGGGACTCCGCTTTCCTTTCTGTGGAATGGGATAGTGATTTCTGCTGTCCCCTGGCCAGGGGGCGATGAACACTATTCACGTTATTAATAAAGTCAGCACACCAGTGCCAGCAGCAGTAATAGCAAGTGGTTCCTGTGGGCCAGGTACGGTGGGGAGAATTCCGTGGTAGCACCCTCTCCTCTGCCCCACAGAAGGTACCAACTGGGTTCCCACTCACTCGTGCACTGTCCCAGCCCACTTGCAAATGGACCAATAGGTGAAGGAATGCCTTCTTTTACTGAGGGGGAAATGGGAGCTTCAAGAACTGAGACCGCCCGCAGTCTGGTGGAGCTAGGACTCAAACCCAGCTCCGATTCCATGAGGTGAGCGCTGTGGGGCCTCAGAACCTGGGGTGTGAGGGGCTGAGGCTACCTGGGCCTCTCCCCAGCAACCGCCTTCCCTCCTCAAGCCGATCCTCCGGGGCAAACAGGCCCTGTGTGCAAGGGTGCAGGGAGAGAGACTGTGAGAGAGAGACAGGCTCGGGCGGCTCCGGGAGTCGGACTGCTATCACAGAGACCCACGCCCAGAACAGGTTCATCTGGGAAGGCCACTGAGGGAGGATGGGCTGTGCCCAGCTGGTGCCAGGACCGGTGGGTGGGCAGGGCGTCCCCCGAGGAAGGCCCAGTCCTTAATTAACCCCAGCTTCCCCATGGCCAGGCTCCGGCTCCCAGCTCTGACATGTGGCCCTAACTGAGCCTGCCTGGGGCCTCCAATCCTGGGGACCCACCCCATCCTCCCCTCTCCGGGTGGCCTGACTTCTTCACACAAGTGGGCCTGCGCCCGGGCCCCTGCCGCGGGCGATCTTGGACAAGCTATTTCCCATCCACTGGGCTCGCCCGCCTCCTGGGCAAAACGAGGCAATAAGTCACAACTGCCAGCCCTGGCCGGGGCCGTGGAGGCCAAAAGAGGGTCTCCGGAGCTCCCCGCGCCACCCGCAGCACAGGCGGGGCCAACGCGGGGTGTGCGTCCGGGCCTCCGGGTGTGGGTCCTGGGTGTGAGTTGGGAGTCCTCGCACGCGTGATGCGAGTGTGTAAAGGGGAGGAGAGCGTGCAAGGCAAGGCCCGCCCTGGAGACCCCAAGCGGCCTATTGGCACCTCCCCGCTCACCTGGGGCCAGCGACGCCGGGGTCCTGGCGCGGAGCTGGGCCGCTGGCCCCACCCCCACCGCGCTCCCGCAGCCCGGAGACCAAAGTCCAACGCCGGGGCCGAGCCGCAAACCCAGAGCCCGGGAACCCCGGCGGCCCGCCCTATTGTTCCCACGACCTCGACCTCCCAGGCCCGCCCCCCGCACCTGTCGCCCCCCAGAGGGTACCTGCGCCCCCGAACGCGGCCCGCAGCACCCACGCCAGGCTGGCCGCAGCCTTAGCCCGCGAGAAATCGTATTGGTCCAGCGACTTGATCTCGGGGACTAGGAAGGTCCTCCGCAGCGGCCCGGGCCCGGGGGGCGCCGCCTCCACCATGGCGCTGCCGGGGCTGCTGGCGCCGGCTCCGTGCTCGCTCCGGCTGGGCTGCGCTGCTCGGCGCTCGCACCCGGGCCGCCGCGGAGCCAGGTGCGGCCGCCAGCGTTCGCGACGCAGCGTCGGCCCCGCCCCGGGGCGGAGCCCAGGTGCGCCCCGCCCCCAGGCCGGTGCCCGCGCCTCGCCGGGGCCTTCGCCGCAGGGTGGGGCGGGGAGGCTGCGGAGAAGTATGTGTGCGCGTGCACGTGTGTGCGCTTATGTTCCTGTGAACGCACTGGAAAGGATGAGGGACCATCTGTTTCTGAATGTGCGTGCTGGCCCGAGTGTGTACCCTTAGATGCGAGTGTGAGCATGTGTGTGGGTGCACCTGTTTCTGATAGTGTGTTGTGAGCGTACAAGAATGTTTGTATTCGTATCTCCACGTGTCGCTGACTGTGTGTAGGTGCCGAACGAGTGTGTGTGAGGATGTCTGCGGACGCGCACAAATATGTTTTCCACGTGATGCGTGTAAGAGGGCCTGCATTGTGTAGGTGTCTGTCCTAAGGGTGTGGGAGTGGTGAGTGTGTGTGTGTCTGTGTCTCGTCAGTGGCTCTGAGAGTTTGTGTATTTGTGAACACACAAATGTACTTGTGTTCTGTACCAGGGTGTGGTGAAGGGCAGTGAAGGAGTGTGTGGCAGATGCTGAAAGTGTGTACTTGCGACTGTGTCTGTGTGTGTTCGCGTGGCTATTACTGGGTGTAATTGCAAACGTCCACATGTGTATTTCTGGTTTCAACAGAATTTGCCAGGGGCTCCAACAGTGTGTAGTGGGGGGTATTTGTGTCCAAGTGCATTTGTATGTGATGGTCTCGGTGTGGTGGGTGCGTGTGGGGGGCACCTTTGGAGAGTGTCTTTATGCATCATGAGTGTGGTTATAGGTGACTGTGTCTGAGTCTGTGGTGTCAGCCAGGTGTGACAGGGTGTGTAAGCCGTGGAAGTGGGTGTAACTCTGTAAGAAGATCCATTTCTGGATGCACTTGTGAGAGTGCAAGCATGCAGATTTATTTAGGGACTGCATATTTGTGTAAGTACATTTGTGTGTGATAAGAGTTTGATTATGTGTGTCAGTGTGGAGGCATGCGAATATAGTTGTGCACACATGCAAGTGTGTGCACATTACTGGACATATTTGTAAGTGTCTGGACATATTTGTAAGCCCCTATTTGTGGCTATGTGTCTAATAGTTGCTTGTGTTGCATTGTGCTTTTGCAGTGAAGCATCCGCTGCGTGTCTGCTGCTGTATGTAATAGTGAATGCACAGTGTTTGTGTGTTAGGTCTCTGTGGCCTGTATGTCTGTATGTCTCAGTGTGCATATCCAGCTATGGTTGTGTGTGTATATAAGTGCACATGTGTTTGGGTTTGTTTCTGAGTGTGTTTGTATGTAGGAAACTGGTGTTTGCATCTGTGTGAATTTGTGAATGTTACATAGGGCTGAGTGTGAGTGCGACAAGCTGCACACGCATGTGTGCCAGTTTTCTGAATGGAAATTGAGTGGCTGAACATATCGCTTTACATTTGAGTGCATTTGTGGGTGTCTGGGTGTGCCTGGTTGTGGCACACAATGGCGGCGGTGTGTAGGCATGTGTGTGTAAGTTGTGCTTGAAATGGTCTGTAGGTGTAGGGTGGGCATTGTGGGTGTCCAGTGGCATTAGTGCATCACATGCAAGTGCGACCGGGTGGGTGAATTCTGGGTCGGGGATGTGAGCACGAGGCTGTGCAGCTGTAGCTGCAGCTGCAGAGGGATTTCCATCAACATGGAACAACGTGCATTTTCTCAGCTACATGAAATTCTATGAGATGAGGAAGCACGATAGCCAGTCAGCATCCCGAGGTCCCACCCTGTGCCCTCCTCAGGTGGCGGCCCCTCAGTGCCCCCCTTTGTAGGAAGGTCCCAGGCCCTGTTGCACAGGTGTGGTTGAGGCTGAGTCTCGTGCTCCGGAGTGTGTGACGGGGCAGGGCTGGGTGTGCCCAGGGGAGGGGACCTGGGGTGTGGCCCCTCCTGTCTGGATGTGCCCGTGCAGGAGTGGGCATGGGTGCACAAAGAGGCCTGTGTGCATGCATCTGAGCACACGTGAGGATGCGTGTGATGCACATGCCCTGGCTCATGTCCCAGCCCCCTGGAAGACCCGGGCAAATCCTCTCCCTACTGGGCCTCAGTGCCCTGCTTCTCCAATGAGTGTGGCATGACCGGCCAGCTCACACACATATTTGCTTTTCCTGGGAAGGTTCTTACCACTTCTGTGGACCCAAAAACCAAATATAGGTAAGGGCAGTGCCCACTGCCCACCAGCATACACTCCCACGGGGGCAGAGCGCACACTCAGACAGAGGTGCGAGCCTGGCACAAGCCCGTGGGCCCTCAGCGCTCTGGGCCAGGAGGGCCTGGGGTCAGCAGTCAGAGCTGGGCCTGTCCAATTCTGCCTGTGCCAGAGGCCTCATGGGCCCCTCCCGCACACCAGGCCAACCGGAACTCCTGGCCCGGCTGGACCTCCCCACCCACACAGGGCGGCTGGAATCAGGTCCCACCTGCCCCTGAGGGCCTGCTCCTTGGGCCCAGGCAGGTGCAGTCACACCGGCTCCTCTGAGTGCACCCCTGGGCCCATCCCAACTCCTTGTCTCCCGCCCCTTCCTAACTGGGCTGCCTCAGGCTGTCGTGCCTCCCAACAGGCTAGGCCCTGGTGATGCAGCTGGGGAGCAGGGAGGCCGGTGACTTAGAGTGTCTGTAGGTCAAGGCCTCAGGAATGGACTTGGGGGAGTGTAGAACACCTCCCGAATCTCCTGTACAGTTCTGTGTGTGTGTGTGTGTGTGTGTGTGTGTGTGCGCGTGCGCACGCTCCCGGAATCATACTAACAGGTGAGGATTTTTAAGGGTTTTTTGTGTCCAGCACAATCTCATTAAATCCTCACAACATCCCTTCCTGAGGAGACGGGAAGGAGGCTCTGAGCGAGAGTCCCTGGGTCAGGGGTCCTCCGCAGAACCGCTACGCTGCCCTCCCGGCCTGAGCCTGCGCCTTCCCCAAACACCCTCGCCTCTCAGAGGGGGTTGGGTGAGGCCAAGCAGAGGAGCCCCTCTGTCCCTCCAGCCCACAGCGAGCTGCAGTGATGGGGTTCAGGTGTGGCCACCGGTTTTGCCCTCCCCTCCCACACAGGGTCCCTTGGTGGCCTCTCTGAAGTTCGGCCCTGGCTGGTGTGGCTCAGCTGGTGGCGTGGTAAACGGAGGGGTCACGGGGTGGATTTCCCGTGGGAGCACACGCCTGGGTTGTGCGTTAGATCCCCTGTTGGGGACCATGCCCTGGGCTGCCAATCGACGTCCCTCTGCCTCCCTTCCTTCCCTTCTCTCTAAAGTCAGAGAGCTGGTCCTCAGGTGAGGATTAAGAGAATAATAATAAAAAACAGAAAGAAATTCAGAGTTGTGAAATTAATCGTTCCTAGAGATTCGTGTCAGTAATGTCCGCGTCCAAAAGTTAGCTGAAAAAGAGGTAGTTTATGACTGACCCCCACGGACCTCTGGGAGACATTTCTGAAATAGCGAACAAATAAACGAACCAACGGTCCTGTGCGCACTCGGGGCTGCCTGTCCCGGTCCTTACGGCACCTGCGCCGGGAGGCAATGAACCAGCGCGTCGGAAGAGACCACGTCGGCGAGGGGCGCGGCGCCGGGACCGCGAGCTAACAGCGGGGGAGTGAGGCCCGCGGCCGGGAGGGGACGGGAGTGGGGGGAAGGGCCGGCACCGCAGTCGGGCCGGGCGCGGACGCTGGCGGGTCCGGCAGCTGCGGGGCGGTGGAAGGTTTCGGAGGGCTTCTCCGATTTTCCCCAGCGGAGGGACCGCTTTCTTTATTCTGTCAAACTAAATGCAATCAACGCCCGTTTCCAGGCGCACCATCACATGGAAAAGGAGGCGCACAGCGCCCTGACCGGACGGGGCGCGCGGAGCGCTCGGGGCGCTTGGGGTCCGCTGACAGCGCTCCCCACGGCCACGGCCAAGGCCGGGTGGCGGCCGCCACAGAACGGATACAGCGCGGGGCATCGCCCCGAGAACGAAACACTCACTCCCGCGTCCAGGCGGAGAGAAAGACTGGTCGAATTCATTAACAAATGAAGGACAAACCTGACCCGCAGAATTCCAAGTATGTTACGTAAATACTCCGCCCTCGAGAAAGGGTGGGGCTTCACGTGGTGATTTCCTTCCAAAAGGCCCAGTTTGGAAAGACTGGGAAAGAGTCACTTTTCCGGGGACGAACCTGAAACACACGCTGTGTCCCCTGGCTCGGTGACCAAGGTCAGCGCCCACAGCAGTTACGCAGTTGACAGTGTACACTGTTAATGTGCTGTTGTGAACACAGCTCGTTGCCTCAGGGAACATCCTCCCCCCAAACCCATAACCCTGAGGCGGTGGGGGGCAGGGACGACCCGAGAAAGTCCCCCAGGGCACCTGACAGCGAGCCAAAGACGCACAGCCAATGCGGCCTAAGGAAATGTGACAACTGAGTGTCGTGTGGGATCCTGGACTCGAGAAAAGACACTCCAAGAAAACTGGAGAAATTTGAATAAAGCATGGTCTTTAGTCCATACTAATGTATCGGTATTGGTTCATAATTTGTAACAAATGTCCCATACTAGCAAAGATGTTACAAATGGCGGAGACGCTGTGTGTGTGTGTGTGTGTGTGTGTGTGTTGGGGGAGGGAATACATGGAAACTGTACTATCAAATTTTTAATATTTTGTTTATTTTTAGAGCGAGGGGAAGGGAAGGAGAAGGAGTGGGAGAGAAACATCAATGTGTGGTTGCCTCTCATGTGTCCTCTACTGGGGACCTGGCCTGCAACCCAGGCATGTGCCCTGACTGGGAATCGAACCGGTTACCCTTTGCTTCACAGGTCCGTGCTCAATTTACTGAGCTACGCCAGCCAGGGCAATTAAAAAAAAAAAGATTTTACTTATTACCCTGGCTGGTGTGGCTCAGTGGATTGAGAGCTGGCCTGCAAACCAAAGTGTCTCTGGTTCACATCCCAGTCTGGGTACATGCCTGGGTTGCAGGCCAGGCCCCCAGTTGGGGCCCCATGAGAGGTAACCAGTTGATG